TCAAGTCTTGCCATAGATTGTCAAGCCAATTTAAGTCAAAACTGTAACTAGGCCACTCAGGAACATTCCATGTCGTCTTGGTAAGCAACTCCAGTGTATATTTTGGCCTTGTGTTATTGTCCTGCTGAAAGGTGAATTCATCTCCCAGTGTCTGGCGGAAAGCAGACTGAACCAGGTTTTCCTCTAGGATTTTGCCTGTGCTTAGCTCCATTGTTTATTTTTATCCTAAAAAAACTCCCTAGTCCTTGCCGATGACAAGCATACCCATAACATGATGCATCCACTACCATGTTTGAAAATATGAAGAGTGGTACTCAGTGATGTGTTGTGTTGGATTCTCCCAAGACATAACACTTTGTATTCAGGACATAAAGTTAATTTCTTTGTCACATTTTTTGTAGTTTTACTTTAGTGACTTATTGCAAACAGGAATTCATGTTTTGGAATATTTTTTTATTCTGTACAGCCTTCCTTCTTTTCACTCAGTCAATTAGGTTAGTATTGTAGAGTAACTACAATGTTATTGATTCATCCGCAGTTTTCTCTTATCACAGCCATTAAACTCTTAACTGTTTTAAAGTCACCATTGGCCTCATGGTGAAATCCCTGAGCTGTTTCCTTCCTCTCCGGCAACTGAGTTAGGAAGGATGCCTGTATCTTTATAGTGACTGGGTGCATTGATACACCATCCAAAGTGTAATTATTAACTTCACCATGCTCAAAGGGATATTCAATGTCTGCTTTTTATTTTTATTTTGACCTATCTACCAATATGTGCCCTTTGCGAGGCATTGGAAAACCTCCCTGGTCTTTGTGATTTTAATCTGTGTTTGATATTCACTGCTTGACTGAGGGACCTTACAATTATCTGTATGTTTAGGTTACACAGTTGAAGTAGTCATTCAAAAATTATGTAAAACAACTATTATTGCACACAGAGTGAGTCCATGCAATTTATTATGTGACTTGTTAAGCACATTTTTACTCCTGAACTTATTTAGGCTTGCCATAACAAAGGTGTTGAATACTTATTGACTCAAGACATTAAAGCCTTTCATTTTTTATTAAATTGTAAACATTTCTAAAAACATAATTCCACTTTGACATTATGGGGTGATGTGACACAGAATCTCAATTAAATTGGTTTTAAGTTCAGGCTGTAACACAACAAAATGTTGAAAAAGTCAAGGGGTGTGAATACTTCCTGAAGGCATTGTATATGCTATGGCCTACTCTGTAGTCTGGCTTTACACTGTGTTACTAAGGCTATACATGCTGTGTAGTCTGGCTTTACACTGTGTTACTAACACTATACATGCTGTGTAGTCTGGCTTTACACTGTGCTACTAACGTTATACATGCTGTGTAGTCTGGCTTTACACTGTGCTACTAACACTATACATGCTGTGTAGTCTGGCTTTTACAATGTGCTACTAACGTTATACATGCTGTGTAGTCTGGCTTTACACTGTGCTACTAACACTATACATGCTGTGTAGTCTGGCTTTACACTGTGCTACTAACGTTATACATGCTGTGTAGTCTGGCTTTACACTGTGCTACTAACACTATACATGCTGTGTAGTCTGGCTTTACCACTGTTGTCTACTAAGGCTATACATGCTGTGTAGTCTGGCTTTACACTGTGTACTAACGCTATACATGCTGTGTTAGTCTGGCTTTTACCACTGTGTTACTAACGCTATACATGCTGGTGGTATACATGCTGTGTAGTCTGGCTTTACACTGTGTACTAAGCTATACATGCTGTGTAGTCTGGCTTTACACTGTGTACTAAGCTATACATGCTGTGTAGTCTGGCTTTACACTGTGTACTAACGCTATACATGCTGTGTAGTCTCCTTTACACTGTGTTACTAACGCTATACATGCTGTGTAGTCTGGCTTTACACTGTGTTACTAAGGCTATACATGCTGTGTAGTCTGGCTTTACACTGTGTTACTAACGCTATACATGCTGTGTAGTCTGGCTTTACACTGTGCTACTAAGGCTATACATGCTGTGTAGTCTGGCTTTACACTGTGTTACTAACGCTATACATGCTGTGTAGTCTCACTTTACACTGTGCTACTAAGGCTATACATGCTGTGTAGTCTGGCTTTACACTGTGTTACTAACGCTATACATGCTCTGTAGTCTGGCTTTACACTGTGTTACTAACACTATACATGCTGTGTAGTCTGGCTTTACACTGTGCTACTAAGGCTATACATGCTGTGTAGTCTGGCTTTACACTGTGTTACTAACGCTATACATGCTCTGTAGTCTGGCTTTACACTGTGTTACTAACACTATACATGCTGTGTAGTCTGGCTTTACACTGTGTTACTAACGCTATACATGCTGTGTAGTCTGGCTTTACACTGTGCTACTAAGGCTATACATGCTGTGTAGTCTGGCTTTACACTGTGTTACTAACGTTATACATGCTGTGTAGTCTGGCTTTACACTGTGCTACTAACGCCCACACTACTCTGGTCAAAAGTAGTGTGCTACTCTAAAGTAGACAGAAGACTTAACCTTTTGAAACTAAATGTTTAATAACTAAAGCTAATATTTTCACCTAGATTTCCTTCCTTGAGATGAGGGAAAGTCTTATTCCAACCAGACTGAACACATGTATTTTACTGTTTAGTGAGTCATATATAATAGAATAAAAGTTTCATCCTCCTCCCTCCTCCTTTCAGATGTATTTTACCCTTATTGAGTCATATTATAAAATAAACGTTTCATCCTCCTTTCACTTTTAGAATTGCTCTATTGAATTCATCCACCAGTTCCTTTTCTCAATTTCAAAGCAAAACTGTAATTTAATCGTAATAACCCAAGAAATAGCTTCCCATTAAACTAATGATTCATTCCCTTACGTTGTGTAATTTACAGCCGGTGATTGAAACAGATAATAACCAAATAAATAAATAAGATGTGAGAAATAATAACAGCATTATAAAAGTCTTATTTGCATCCCAAATGACACCCTATTCCCTACATAGTGCACTACTTTTGACCAGGGCACACAGGGCTCTGGTCAAAAGTAGTGCACTATGTAGGGAACAGGGTGCCATTTTGGACACATCCTTTATATAAAGGCTTCCCTTCCCTGTTTCCTTTCCTGTTTTCTTGTGAAGAGACTAGTGTCTCAAAATGTCTTCCCCTCTCGCAGTTGCTTAGTCACTGGCTTAAAGGCATACTTCAGTATTGTAGCAATTTTTATGCCTCTGCATCCAGTATGAAGGAAGTTAGAAATAGTTTCGCGAGCCAATGCAAACTAGCGTTGGCGCAATGACTGGAAGTCTATGGTATCTACTAGCATGCTAGCAGTTACCATAGACTTCCAGTCATTGTGTTAACAATAGTTAGCTATTGTGCTAATGCTAGTTAGAAGCTTCCTTTTAAACTGGACGCAGAGACATAAAAATGCAATCCATCAGTTCATCTGACTCTGGGGAAGTAGATAAAGGTATCATTGTCAAAATCCTGAAGTGTCCCTTTAAGATAACATCCTGCCAGAAGATATTAACCTCTTTAGGAGAAGAGGCTGACACCCGCTCTCCCATCCGCCATCCGAGCATCTGTTTGTTTCAACTCAGTGGCTTTCGGCTTTCTTCAAGTGGGGGAAAATGAGTTTCCTCCTCCTCCTGTCCTGTAGGCCTTAAACACAGTGGTAGGGTGAGTCCCAAATGGCACCCTATTCCCTATATAGTTCACTACTTTTGACCAGAGACCACATAGTGAGTGCACTATGTAGGGAATAGGCTACCATTTCAGACACTCACAGTGTCCAACAATAGCAGTTTCTAACTAAGGGATATGTCCCAAACGGTACTATTAACTTTCGAATGCATTACTTTTGACCAGGACACACACACACACACACACACACACACACACACACACACACACACACACCACACAGTACAAAACATTAAGAACACCTGCTCTTTCCGAGACTGACCAGGTGAAAGCTATGATCTCTTACTGATGTCACTTGTTATTCGGTATACCCTGTACACCACATGGTCAATCTGCTGGCTGTTATTCAGTATACCCTGTACACCACATGGTCAATCTGCTGGGCTGTTATTCAGTACCGTACACCACATGGTCAATCTGCTGGCTGTTATTCTACCTGGGTCAATCTGCTGGATGTTATTCGGTATACCCTGTACACCACATGGTCAATCTGATGGCTGTTATTCAGTATACCCTGTACACCACATGGTCAATCTGCTGGCTGTTATTCAGTATACCCTGTACACCATGGTCAATCTGCTGGCTGTTATTCAGTATACCCTGTACACCACATGGTCAATCTGCTGGCTGTTATTCAGTATACCCTGTACACCACATGGTCAATCTGCTGGCTGTTATTCAGTATACCCTGTACACCACATGGTCAATCTGCTGGCTGTTACTCAGTATACCCTGTACTGGTCAATCTGCTGCTGTTATTCAGTATCCCTGTACATGTCAATCTGCTGGCTGTTATTCAGTATACCCTGTACACCACATGGTCAATCTGCTGGCTGTTACTCAGTATACCCTGTACCCATGGTCAATCTGCTGCTGTTATTCAGTATACCCTGTACGATGGTCAATCTGCTGGCTGTTATTCAGTATACCCTGTACACACATGGTCAATCTGCTGGCTGTTATTCGTATACCCTGTACACCACATGGTCAATCTGCTGGCTGTTATTCAGTATACCCTGTACACACATGGTCAATCTGCTGGCTGTTATTCAGTATTCCCTGTGCATCACATGGTCAATCTGCTGGATGTTATTCAGTATACCCTGTACACCACATGGTCAATCTGCTGGCTGTTATTCAGTATACCCTGTACACCACATGGTCAATCTGCTGGCTGTTACTCAGTATACCCTGTACACCACATGGTCAATCTGATGGCTGTCATTCAGTATACCCTGTACATTGTCAATCTGCTGGCTGTTATTCAGTATACCCTGTACACCACATGGTCAATCTGCTGGCTGTTATTCAGTATACCCTGTACACCATGGTCAATCTGCTGGCTGTTATTCAGTATACCCTGTACATGGTCAATCTGCTGGCTGTTATTCAGTATACCCTGTGCATCACATGGTCAATCTGCTGGATGTTATTCGGTATACCCTGTACACCACATGGTCAATCTGCTGGCTGTTATTCAGTATACCCTGTACACCACATGGTGAATCTGCTGGCTCTCATTCAGTATACCCTGTACATTGTCAATCTGCTGGCTGTTATTCAGTATACCCTGTACACCACATGGTCAATCTGCTGGCTGTTATTCAGTATACCCTGTACACCACATGGTCAATCTGCTGGCTGTTATTCAGTATACCCTGTACGTGGTCAATCTGCTGGCTGTTATTCAGTATACCCTGTACATTGTCAATCTGCTGGATGTTATTCGGTATACCCTGTACACCACATGGTCAATCTGCTGGCTGTTATTCAGTATACCCTGTACACCACATGGTCAATCTGCTGGCTGTCATTCAGTATACCCAGTACACCACATGGTCAATCTGCTGGCTGTTATTCAGTATACCCTGTACACCACATGGTCAATCTGCTGGCTGTTATTCAGTATACCCTGTACACCACATGGTCAATCTGCTGGCTGTTATTCAGTATACCCTGTACACCACATGGTGAATCTGCTGGCTCTCATTCAGTATACCCTGTACATTGTCAATCTGCTGGCTGTTATTCAGTATACCCTGTACACCACATGGTCAATCTGCTGGCTGTTATTCAGTATACCCTGTACACCACATGGTCAATCTGCTGGCTGTTATTCAGTATACCCTGTACGTGGTCAATCTGCTGGCTGTTATTCAGTATACCCTGTACACCACATGGTCAATCTGCTGGCTGTTATTCAGTATACCCTGTACACCACATGGTCAATCTGCTGGCTGTTATTCAGTATACCCTGTACACCACATGGTCAATCTGCTGGCTGTTATTCAGTATACCCTGTACACCACATGGTCAATCTGCTGGCTGTTATTCAGTATACCCTGTACATGGTCAATCTGCTGGATGTACAGCCAATCACACTGCTGCTGCCTTGTCCTGCTCTGAAGCCTTTACCCCGAGGCTCCACCATGTTGCACTTTATTAACTAGACTTCTATAGTTCAACTATTAACGTTCAAGTTCCCTCTCTCCCTTTTCCCTTCACAGGAGGTTTCCCAAGCATTCCTAGAGAGCCAGGTATTCCCAACCCCACCACAGATACAGTACAGTAACATTCAGGCTGCAGCCCAAACGACACCCTATTCCCTACATAGTGCACTACTTTTGACCAGAGCCTTAGGCCTATTTGACCTATGTGCCCTAGTCAAAAGTAGTGTACTATATATGGAATAGGAGGCCATTTGGGGCGTAACCTGAGACATTGGCCAAAGCCAGACACATAGGATCACATTAACTCAGTGACCCTCTGATCAGTGAGGGTGGTGGTGGGAAACATTACAGGTGGAAATACAGGTTGCCTCTAACTGCTGATTTGGGGTCAGATATAGGGTGATCCCAAATGACACCCTATTGCCTATATAGTGCGTTACTTTGACCAGGGCCCCTTGGGGTCATTTGGGATGTATCTATATGATTATACTACTGTATAATATCCTGGGAGGTGCAGTTAGTTATCTGATCCTAGATATGTGGTTAAGAGGACAACTTCTACCTCAAGCACTGGCTAATCGTATCTCCCCCCTCCTCCCCCTCCTCCTTTCTCCCTCCAGGTGGACAGTGCTATGTCTCTGATCCAGGCAGCTAAGAACCTGATGAACACGGTGGTGTCCACAGTCAAGGCTAGCTACGTGGCCTCCACTAAGTACCAGAAGTCCATGGCCATGCAGTCCCTGAACATGCCTGCTATCTCCTGGAAGATGAAAGCCCCGGAGAAGAAACCCCTGGTCAAGAGAGAGAAACAGGAAGATGGATCCAACAACAAGGTAACGGGAACCATGATGTTAAAGCTGAGATCCTCTACAGGGGGAACGGCTCCACTGGTCCACCCCACAGGTGTTATTGTTTTCGTTTTGTTTTTGAAAAGGAGGATTGGAGCATTAAGCATCTTGGTAAAAACAAGAGTATAAACTCTGCTGTTCTATCGCACATGCAATGATGTCCGAGGGGAAAAACAGTTTTTGTTGTAATATCGCAAACGGACGTGGCAGTTTCACCGCTAAGGAATCCAGCATAATTGGTATAATCCCCTGCACGGTTGCCTGTCAGTGTCCAGGACACAGAAATTATATTCCTGGACTAAATAGCTTTCCATATAGACTATATTTTTTAGTCCAGAACTTAGTCTGTGTCCGGGAAACCAGCCCTATATGTTCTTCTTTTGTAAATTGTCAGTTTTTTTTATGGCCTGTAAAGAGATTTTATTTAACCCTTTTTTTCCCCCCAGGTAAGTTCACTGAGAACACATTCTCATTTACAGCAATGACCTGGGGAATAGTTACAGGGGAGAGGAAGGGGGGTGAATGAGCCAATTGGAACCTGGGGATGATGTAATGAGGGCCAGATTGGGAATTTAACCAGGACACCAGGGAAGTAAAAGTTATTCCCTACCTAAGAATAGTAAAGCCCCCTTAACTGGCTCAAATAGCCGACCAATCAGCCTGTTACCAACCCTTAGTAAACTTTTTGGAAAAGCTTGTGTTTGACCAGATAAAATGCTATTTTACAGTAAACAAATTGACAACAGTCTTTCAGCACGCTTATAGGGAAGGACATTCAACAAGCACAGCACTTACACAAATGACTGATTGGCTGAGAGAAATTGATGATAAAAAGATTGTGGGGGGGGGGGGGGGTTGGTAGACAAATGTATGTGTTATGGCTTTACACCCCCAGCTATATTGTGGATAAAGAGTTACCTGTCTAACAGAACACAGATGGTGTTCTTTAATGGAAGCCTCTCCAACAAAATCCAGGTAGAAGCAGGAATTCCCCAGGGCAGCTGTCTAGGCCCCTTATTTTTTCAATCTTTACTAACGACATGCCACTGGCTTTGAGTAAAGCCAGTGTGTCTATGTATGCGGATGACTCAACACTATACACGTCAGCTACCACAGCGACTGAAATGACTGCAACACTTAACAAAGAGCTGCAGTTAGTTTCAGAATGGGTGGCAAGGAATAAATTAGTCCTAAATATTTTTACAAAAAACTAAAAGCATTGTATTTGGGACAAATCATTCACTAATCCCTAAACCTCAACTAAATATTTTAATGAATAATGTGGAAATTGAGCATGTTGACGAGACTAAACTGCTTGGAGTAACCCTGGATTGTAAACTGTCATGGTCAAAACATATTGATACAACAGTAGCTATGATGGGGAGAAGTCTGTCTATAATAAAGCGCTGATCTGAATTCTTAACAGCACTGTCAACAAGGCAGGTCCTACAGGCCCTAGTTTTGTCGCACCTGGACTTCTGTTCAGTCGTGTGGTCAGGTGCCACAAAGAGGGACTTAGGAAAATTGCAATTGGCTCAGAACAGGGCAGCACGCCTGGCCCTTGGATGAACACAGAGAGCTAACATTAATAATATGCATGTCAATCTCTCCTGGCTCAAAGTGGAGGAGAGATTGACTTCATCACTACTTGTATTTGTGAGAGGTATTGACATGTTGAATGAACCAAGCTGTCTGTTTGAACTACTGGCTCACAGCTCGGACACCCATGCATACCCCACACGACATGCCACCAGAGGTCTCTTCACAATCCCCAAGTCCAGAACAGACTATGGGAGGTGCACAGTACTACATAGTGCCATGACTACATGGAACTCTATTCCACATCAAGTAACTCATGCCAGCAGTAAAATTCGATTAAAAAAACAGATAAAAATACACCTTATGGAACAGCGGAGACTGAATCAACACAAACATAGACCCATGCATACAAACACACGATAACATACACACTATACACACACACGTACACACAGATGTTGTGTTATAGATATGTGGTAGTAGAGTAGAGGCCTGAGGGCACACACTTGATATGTTGTGAAATTTGTTATGAATGTATTGTAATGTTTTTAAAATGTATAACTGCCTTCATTTTGCTGGACCCCAGGAAAAGTAGCTGCTGCCTTGGCAGGAACTAATGGGGATCCATAATAAATACAAATACCCCTACTCTGACGATAAGTGCCATTGGATCTTTAGTGACCACAGAGAGTCAGGACACCCATTTAACGTCCCATCCGAAAAACTGTACCCTACACAGGGCAATGTCCCCAATCACTGCCCTGGGGCGTTAGGTTATTTTTTTTAGACCAGATGAACACCACTTCCAGCAGCATCTGGTCTCCCATCCAGGGACCGACCAGGACCAACCCTGCTTAGCTTCAGAGGCAAGCCAGCAGTGGGATGCAGGGTGGTATGCTCCTGGATTTAATGACGCAAGACACATTTCTGTGAAAACATACAATAAAATGCTCTCTTCTCTTCTCTTAGGTCAAGAGGTCATCCCAAAAGAAACACATCAACCCTGTCCAGGCTCTCAGCGAGTTCAAAGCCATGGATAGCATCTAGAGATGGAGCAGTCGAGTCAGGGTTAGGGTGGTGAGAGGAGGTTGGGGCTAGAGGCTTGGGATACCGATGGAGCTAGCTAGATCAACTCTTGATTTGTAGACGTTTGGAACTTATTTTCAGTCCCAAAAAAAAAAAAAGAAAGAGAAGAAAAGAGGGTGAGAGAAAAATGTTTTGGTTTGAATGCATTCCTGCTTTCCTTCCCTGGCCTAGTCCTGCTGTGTGGTTTGATGTGATGTTGCTTATGCAGGCTCGGTAAGGTAGGACACTAAGGTAGGACACTAAGGTAGGACACTAAGGTAGGACACTATATACGCAGACGCCCTGAGCTCACTTTCTCTACCAGTCTCTTTTTCATTCAAACGGCCGCGTTCTGATATTCTGATTGGTCTCAGTCTATAGCCTACTGTATAATGTCTATTGGAGGAAAAGAAAAGAAAAAGCAATGGGGGAAAGCAACTGGACCAAGCAAAGTTAATTTCTATTTCCGTCGGTATGACATTTTGATTCCAGTGTTGGTATGAGAGGGTAGGGAGAGGCTTTCATTGATACTGTAAGATCTAATTCTGACAACTAATCATTTTGACCCCTGACCCTCTTCCGCCAACCTCTGATTTGAGATGCCCTGTGTATTTTATAGACTTACTTTCTAACATGTTTTATAATGTCGTGGGGAGGGTATTGGATGGTGTTCCGCTATGGGCCGGATATCATATGGTGCAGTATTATAATGTGCAGATCAGATGGGCCTTTCCACTCTATGCAAATTATCTCTCTACTGCCTTAATACTCAAGCAATAACTGGAGAACATTTGGATGTGGAGCTTTTCTTTCTCAATGGAGGTTTTTGATATACATTTTAGTTTTAGCTTTGATTTTAAAAAAAAACGAATTGATTTTCCATTCTCAATGTATTCTGTGCTATCTAATAAAAGTTTGATATTATAGTGTCGTACCACTTCATACTTAATATTACATTTTAGTCATTTAGCAGATGCTCTTATCCAGAGCGACTTACAGTTAGTGAGTGCATACATTTTATTTTATTTTTCATACTGGCCCCCCCTCCGTGGGAATCGAACCCACAACACTGGTGTTGCAAGCGCCATGCTCTACCAACTGAGCTACACGGGGCCCGTAATAAACTGAATTGTCATACATGTTTTATTTTCCCTGCCCCCCCCCCACGTTTTAAAGAGTAGTCTGGACGAGTCCTTGCGTGCCCCACTGGATGCAGCAAGCCAAAGCTAACAGAGAGAGGAGAAGCATTCTCTCCCAACCTTCTGGTTTAATACATAACACTAGCCCGGGGGGCTCCACACACACGTTGTACTATACACATACACACACACACACACACACACTACATACACATACACCATACACACAGTCCGTGAGACTCATTAAATTAGCTGACACACACTCTCTCTCTCTGAGTGTGTGATAGGTCACAGTGAGGCAATGGAGGGGGTCTGGTAAATAGACCAGGCTTTGGAGGGGGTCTGGTAAATAAACCAGGCTATGGAGGGGGTCTGGTAAATAGAACAGGCTTTGGAGGGGGTCTGGTAAATAAACCAGGCTATGGAGGGGGTCTGGTAAATAGACCAGGCTGTGGAGGGGGTCTGGTAAATAGAACAGGCTATAGAGGGGGTCTGGTAAATAGAACAGGCTATGGAGGGGGTCTGGTAAATAGACCAGGCTATGGAGGGGGGTCTGGTAAATAGAACAGGCTATGAGGGGGTCTGGTAAATAGAACAGGCTATGGAGGGGGTCTGGTAAATAGAACAGGCTATAGAGGGGGTCTGGTAAATAAACAGGCTATGAGGGGGTCTGGTAATAGAACAGGCTATGAGGGGGTCTGGTAAATGGGCCCGGCTATAGAGGGGGGGGGAAAAGGGAAAAGGAAAAGGAAGGGGGAAAAATTGGTTTAAATAAAACCAGGTTTTATGGAGGGGGGTCTGGTAAATGAAAAGGGACTAGGCGGGGGGTCTGGGTAAATAAAAACAGGTTTTGGGGGGGGGGTTGGTTTGGGAAATAGAACGGTTTTATGGAGGGGGTCTGGAAATAAAAACCGGGCCCAGGAGGGGGTTGGTAAATAAACCAGGCATGGAGGGGGTTTGGAAAATAGAACGGGCTATAGGGGGGTTTCATGGTAAATGAACAGGCTATGGGGGGGGGGGGTAAATAGAAAGGCTAAGGGGGGGGTTTCGGGAAAAAGAACGGTATGGGGGGGGGTCGGAAATTGAAAGGTTTATAGGGGGGGTTTTGGTAAATAAAACCAGGCTTGGAGGGGGGTCTGGTAAAAAAGGGGCTATGGGGGGGGGTAGGGAAAAATTTAGAACGGGATAAATTTAAAATGGGGAAATTTGGGGAAAAATTAATTCACCAGGGTTCAGGCCCCCTGGGAATTAAATGGGGCCCAACTTTCCTGCTCCAAAATGCCCCCCAAAAAACCCAACCCCTATATAGTGCACACTTTAACGAAAATTTTTAAAAGGGAACCATCCATCTGGGCCACAGCCCAAGCACCCCAGTGGCTAAGCAGCCCCAAAAGGTTTTGTCAATATTCCTCCCTTTTTTTGTTTTCCGAGGGGAGGAGGGGGGATGAGGGGGAGGGAGATGGAGGGGGGAAAAGAGAGGGAGGGGAGGAGGGGGAGGAGAGGGAGGGAAGAGAGAGAGGGGGGGGGAGAGTAGAGAGAGGGGGGGTAGGAGAGGGGGGGAGACCGAGGGAGGGGAGTAGGAGAGGAAGGGGAGTAGGGGAAGTAGCGAAGAGGTGGGGGGGGATTCCGAGAGGAAAAAGGAGGGGAGGAAAGGAGAAGGAGAGGGAGGGGAGGAGGAGGGGAGATGGAGGGGGGGGAAAAAAACGAAAAAAGAGGGAGGAAATGGGGGGAGGGGGGATGGAGAAAGGGGGGGGGGGAGAGAGGGGAAATAGAAGGAGGGGGAAGGGGGGAGGGGGGGGGGAGAGGGAGGGTAGAAGAGGGAAAGGGGGGGGGAAAAGGGGAGGGGAGATGGAGGGGGTAGAAGCGGGGGGGAGGGGGGGGAGGGAGGTATAGGGGAAAAGGGAAAGGGAGGGGGGGGGGGGAGAAGGAGGAGAGGGAGGGGGGAGGGGGATGGGGGGAAAGGAGGAGATGGAGGGGAGGGAAAAAGGGAGGGGGGGGGGGAGGGGAGGGTGGAGGGGAGGAAGAGGGGGAGGGGGGGGGAAAAGGGTAGAGAGAGGGGGGGGGGGAGGGGAGGGAGGGGAGGGAGGGAGGAGGGGGGGAGGGGGTTTGAGAGGGGAGGGGAGGGGGGAAGGGAAAAGGGAGGGGAAGGGAAATCCAAAAGGGGAGAGAGGGAAGGGGGTTTTTAATAAAAAGGGAAAAGGATTTTTTCCTTTTTATTTTTTTTGGAGAGGGGGGAGGGGAAAGGGTGGGGGGATTGGGGGGGAAAAACCCTGGGAGGGGGGGGGCAGGGGGAAAGGGGGTGGGGGGGCAAAAAATTTTAAAGGGTTTTAAATTTTTAAAAATTTTTTAAAGGAGAGGGAGGGAGGAGGGAAAAAAGGGGGAGGAGGGGGGAGGGGGAGGGGGGGAGAGAGGGGAGGGTTAGGGGGGGGGGGGGGGAGGGGAGGGGGGAGGGGGGGGGGAGTGGAAGGGGGAGGGGGGGAAGGGGGGAGGGGAGAGGGAGGGGGGGAGGGGGGGGGGGGAAAGGGGGGAGAGGGGGGGGGGAGGGGAGGGGAGGGAGACGGGGGGGGGGAGGGGGGAAGGGGGGAGGAGGGAGGAGAGGGAGGGGGGGGGAGGGGAGGGGAAGGGGAGAGGGGAAGGGGGGGGGAGGGGAGAGGGGGACCAGGGGGGGGAGGGGAGAGGACCAGAGAGAGGGAGGGGGGGGGGGGGAGGGGGGGGAGAAAAAGAGAGAGAGACCAGGGGAAGGGGGGGAAAGGGGGGAGAGACCAGAGAGGGGGGAGGGGGGGGGGGAGAGAGGGCCAAAAGAGGGGGGGAGGGGAGGGGAGAGAGACCAGAGGAAAGGGGGGGGAGGGGGAGGGGGACCCCCGAGAGAGGGAGGGGGGGGGAGAGAGGGCCCGGAGAGAGGGAAGGGGGGGAGGGAGAGAGACCAGAGAGAGGGAAAGGGGGGGGGAGGTGAGAAAAGGGCCAGGGGAGGGGGGGAGGGGGGGGAGAGAGGGGGGCCCAGAGAGGGGAAGGGGGGGGGAGGGGAGAGGGGGGGAAAGGGGAGGGGAGGGGAGAGGGAGGGCCAGGGAGGGGAGGGGAGGGAGACCAGAAAAGAGGGAGGGGGGGGGGGGAGGAGACCCGAGAGAGGGGGGAAAAGGGGGGAACCCCGGAGGGGGGGGAGGGGAGAGAGACCAGAAAAGAGCGGGGGACCAGGGAGGGAAAAAGGGGAGAGGGGAAAAGACCAGGGAGGACCGGGAGGGGGGGGGGGGAGAGAGGGCCAGAGAGGGGGGGGGGAGGGGAGAAGGGGACCAGAGAGGGGGGGAGGGGGGGGGGAGAGAGACCAAAAGAGGGGGGGGAGGGGGGAGGGGAGAGGGGACCGGGAGGGGAGGGGAGGGGGAGGGGCCCCAAAAGGGGGGGGAGGGGAGAGAGACCAGAGGGGGGGGGAGGGGAGGGGAGAGAGACCCGGAGAGGGAAAGGGGGGGGGGAGGAGACCAGAGGAGGGAAAGGGGGGGAGAGAAGAGAAGAGGAACCAGGGGGGGGGGGAGGGGGAGAAAAGACCAGAGAGAGGGAGGGGGGGGAGGGGAACCAGAGGGAGGGAAGGGGGGGGGGGAGGGGAGGGGAGGGGGGGAGACCCGAGAGAGGGGGGAGGGGAGGGGGAGACCAGAGGGGGGGGAGGGGAGGGGGGAAAAGGGGGGGAAGGGGGGGGGAGAGATGGGGGGGAGTTTGAAAGAGGGAGGGGGGAGAGTGGAGGGGGAAAAGGGGAGGAGGGGGGAGGGTAGGGGGGGAGGAGGGAGGGGGAGAGGGAAAAGGGGGGGGAGAGGGAAAAAAGGGAGGAGAAAGCGGGGGGGGAGGAGAGGGAGGGGG